CTTACCATTCAGACGGCGAGTGCTTCGCAGTGTTCGGACCCAATCCACAGCCACGTCCTCTTCTATTCCGGGTGGTCTGTATGCCTGGTTGTACTATGGCAGCATCCAGCCCCTGGACCCTGCTACCTGGCCTCCCACGGGGTATGCTTGTTACTATGCACATTCCAGCCCAGCCCCCTACCTTCCACGGTATGGTTGTTACTATGCACATTCCAGCCCAGCCCCCTACCTTCCAACGGGTCTGGGCTTTGTTACTATGCCACATCGCAGAACCAGCCGCCTACCTTTCACGGGTATGCGTGCGTGACGTGTAGCCATGCATTCCAGCCCAGCCCCCTACCTTCCACGGTATGCTTGTTACTATGCACATTCCAGCCCAGCCCCCTACCTTCCACGGTGCAGATTATGTTGTTGACTGTGCACATTGGCCAGGACCAGGCTCCGCCCCTACTATCTACGGTTGATAGCTTGTTTACTATGTGCACATCTTCCAGCCAGCCCCCTCCTTCTACGGTATGCTTGTTACTATCGCACGATTCCAGGTCGACGCCCCCTACCCCGCATTCAACGGTAGTGCGTTGTTACCTAATGCACATCCCAGCGCCTGCAGCCCCTACCTTCCACGGCCAGTTTTCATGCTTGGCTTACTATGCACAATTCCAGGGGCCAGCCCCCTGACCTTGCCACCCGTATGCTTAGGCGGTTCATCCTATCAAGAGTCCATAATTGAAATGGACTCTTCTGTTATGGACTCTTGTTACTATGCATATCCCAGCCCTGCCCCTACCTTCCACGGTATGGTTGTTACTATGGCGCTGATAGGCGGTCTAATGGTCCCCGGCGCGAGACAATACGGTACTCTGGTGCCGCGAACGTACCCTGGGGTACGGGCCGCTTCTTATCCGGAACGCTGGACGGTCCGTATGCTGTACTATTTAGATATGCCGGCCGAGCCCGTAGCCGTCCGCTCTGTACTCCACTAACGACGTCGAGGGAGTCGCCTACGCCTAGCTCCCTAACGCCTAGACCCGAACCGCGCCGGAACCCGAAACCGTACCCGAACCGTAATCCGTAACCTTAACCAGTATCAATAGGTGACCAGCGCGTACGTTCCGCTCCGGTATACCGGACCGTACCCAGGGTACGTTCCGGCAGTACCTTGGGGGACATAGGCCCTATGAGCGTTACTATGCACATCTTTCCGCGTCCTCTCCTCTTGTAGGATATGGTCGTAACTAAGCACCTACGTGGCCGGTCTCCTCCTTGCCAGTGTCTGCTTGGATCTATATTCTTCTTAGTCCGACCTCTCACTAGCTAGGGCGTGGTAAACTAACTCCGTCGTCATTCACCACTAGAAACATGGTATCACTGCGTACATGATTGAGCATGTATCCGTCGGCGTCCGATTTCTAATATCTATCAATAACCGATCATTAGAATCGGTTCGAATCGCCACGCTGATGAGATGGGACGCTGCAATTGCGGGCATTATAAAACAGAAGAACCGACGGCGTGCTGTGTTCGTACTGCCGCTTAAACGACATCGACGGTCTTCTTTACCATGTGAACCCCTCCATCACGCGCTCCCCGACTTCTCCTAATTGCTGCATGAGATTAGAAGCCGCGAGCGGCCGCCGAGACACGACGCCGGAGCAGGGTAGAAAAACATCGTCGCGGCGCGGAAACCCTTTCATTTGGAAGTGTCCGCCCTGATCACTAATCTGTTATTTGATGTGAAATGACGGCTGGTCGTCGGGGCTGGCTTGATGTGTACACGTGGAAATATCTTAATGATGCCGTCGAGTTTGCGACGTCGTTGTTGCGCAACACCTATATAAGGCACGACACCTATATAAGGCACGACACCTATATAAGCCGCGACATTTCTTTTGCCGTTGCGCGTGGGGTGAGGGGTGATGGAGATGTTTACGCTTGTCTGTGGTTGTTCGCAGCATGGTGGTGCTGCTGCTGCTGCACACGTACCCGCGGGTGTGTATGTTTGCCCTCATTGATTTTTTTTTCATCATTTCTACTTGCAGGGACTGCAGAGTCGTGCGTGACCCACAGACCTTGAAATCTAAAGGATATGGTTTCGTGGCCTTTGTAAAGAAAGTAGTAAGTATATATTCCTTTCACGTCCTTTCGCACTTTATATATTCTGTGAAGTAAATGATTGTCGCACGTGGATATGGTGCATTCGTAGGTGAACGCTATAAGAGTAGACTCTGCACTCCAAAAATATTTTAATACACATTGCGAGGCATACCTGTATATATTACTAAGACCATGTTAATTATTTATATAACTTAAAATAAAAAATAATATATGTATATACATGCATAAATTTTACATATCGTATATAATAACTTATATTACATGTATAGTCTTTCTAATGCTATAATATCATGCATTGTAGTATATATATATATATATATATATATATATATATATATATATATATATATATGTAGTAGAGCAAATGATATATTATAGCATGTGTTAGTAATACAAAATCGCAATGTGTAAAACTAGATATATTCTTACACTTCAGTGGTGTAAATTGATTAGAGTTTCTAACCACACTGGTCACCTTATACCTGCTCACGCGACACTGTTATACTCGCGGCTGAATCTTGTTAGATGTGTCGGCTTAATTTGCGTATTTAAAATGTCTTTTAGAGACTTATCTCGTATTTCGTCTTCGTACTCGTATTGTTTAATTACTTCAGTAAAATCATCCTAATATTCATGGGCACTCTGAAAACGAAGAAACCAATGCAAACAATTTAAGACTGATTAAATTACACAGTGATTATATCTACAATTACACCTTTGGTGCACAGAAATAATGCGATAGAGTACTCCTTAACAATGTAGGCTACATGCATTTTAAGCCAAATCTTAAATACATATATTTTTTACTGTTTGGCTGCTGCACATCATAGTTAAATAGAAGAGGGTAACCCAGCATGTCGGCTTATATTAATAGATAAAAGCATAGAAACATCAAATAAAATAAAATTGGAGTGTAATCAATTCTGACAACTTGGAAAAACATGTAGACAATTTTGCGCGTTATCCACTTCATCTATATGTAAGGCAAAGTCGGCTGCGGCTACATTTTGCATGTAAATTAGATGAGCTTAGCCAATTACCATCTATTGGTTTGTATTTCAAAATGCAAATCTGCTTCAACTATACAAACATTATAAGCGGTGATGAAAAACAAATACACGCAACTCTTCTAGACGGTAACAAGGGCATTATAACTGTGCACAGTGTGTCTCTGATACTGCAGCGAGTGAGCGAGGCAGAGAGAAAGGGGAAAGGAGTATATCTGAGAGAGAGCTGGAGGAGAGAGAGGAGAGGGGCAGACGAGCGAATTTTTTTCTTGTTGTTTCAACTGATTTCCCTGAACTGTACATGTTCTAACTTTTGTCTTACATGCGTTCTGACATTGATGTCACACATAGTTAAGGATGCTGCATCACAGCTAATATTGCCTGCGGTCCGAGGTCACGGGTTGACAGGCCGCGGCGCTGGACCCAGGGGTGCTGTATTCACGAGCCAGCTGTTAATGTACTTTTTACTGTCATTACTAGAATTTAGAGCACTTCGTTTCACAAATCGATAGCGTCGTGGAGTGGCGCGTTTTGGCGCGCAGTCATAATTTTTCCCGTATTTTTATGTATGTTCGAGTTATGGCAAGCGGGAAATTGTTACGAAAGGCTTTCTCAACAAAGGATTTTCGCAAATTTATCTAGGTGTTTTTTCCTGGTTGTCTGTTGGTATGCAGAGGCGAATTTCAAGGTAGTGCAGCGCATGGCAAGCATTAGAAACCCACTACATTGCATATGAAACGTTTCGCAGAGTTCTATTCCATCATGCGGTGTATCCACGCAAAGCTCTCTCGTCACTGTTCTATCCACAATGCTGCCATATATATATATATATCCGGCAATCATAACATGCAGTCAAATTGGCTCCACTAGTATCCTGCTTTTTCATATCGTTTTTGCTCAAACGCACGCGCACTATATAGCCCCTATGCAGTGGACATTAGCGATGTGACGTGGTTTATTCTGCTAGCGCGTATCCCTGCGCGACGCACGTCTGCCGTCCTGACGGGCGCGCGTGCCGAGCCTAGTACATGTTAGGCAACTCACGGCTTAGGCAACATGTTAGGCACATGTTAGGCACATGTTAGGCACATGTTAGGCAACATGTTAGGCACATGTTAGGCAACATGTTAGACAACATGTTAGTTGTGGTAAAAGCACATATCTGCCCCACTATGTGGAGTTCATATGGGAATGCGATACTAAGGAATAATTTCATAAATCTGGTTTTTACGCCTATAAGTGAACCGTTCTCGCGTATCATAAAAATGATGGTCGCAAGAAACCGTTAGTCAATATGGCTGCTACTCCTATTAAAAAATTCGCTCTGCTGCATTTGGAAATACTCTTTACAAAAACTGTTATAATTTCAGTAGGATTGACATTGCCGCGTATATCGTCCTAAGAGAACGCGCAATATCTATAATGGTACGGTGCATGAGTAAATATTTAGACGTAATACATTAAAAGTTTATGTTCGCTTTTGTGCATCAGTTGCAACCTTGCATGGCAAGATTTCATTATTTATAAAGTGTTAGATGTTTTCTGATCAGTGAATTGTCAAATATAAATTAAATAACGTCGCAGCACCACCACTAACAGTAGCAGTAGCAACACCGTCAGTAGCAGCAGCAGTACCATCACCACCAGCAGCAGCAGCAACAACAACAACAACAACAACGACGACGACGACGACGACGACGACGACGGCGACTTTAACATCGACAGCAGTAACAGCAACAGTAGCAGAAAAAAAACAAGAACAACATCAGTAGCAGCAGCACCACCATCGGCAGCAACAACCAAAATAACAAACAACAACAACCGCAGCAGCAGTAACATCAGCGAGAAGAATAACAACAACAACAACAACAACAACAACAATAACAAACACAGTCGATGTATAATTACTGCAAGATGCGGGAATTTGCAGCGTTAGCAGCTGATAGTAAGCATGAGGACACAGGTGGCGTACGTTGCAATAGCGATCAGAGCGATGGCGACGACTACGACGACGATGACGACGGCAATGACGATGGCGATAGAGCCGACGGGCGGAATGGTCGTAACTCTGCGTCATAACGAGCGTCGTAAAATCGGCGGCAGCGGCGTCCGATAATGGAGGCGAAGACGCGCTTTACGGTCTTAATTAGCATCTCTCTATCTCTCTCTCTCTCTTTTTTCTCTCTCTCTCTCTCTCTCTCTCTCTCTCTA